GTGGGTTCGAGCCCCGCGTCAGGCTCTGTGCTGACAGCTCAGAGCCTGGGGACTGTTTCAGATTCTGTGTCTCCCTCTCTCTCTGACCCTCCCTTGCTCATGCTGTCTCTCTCTCAGAAATAAATAAAACATTAAAAAAATTTTAAAATAAAATGGAAGGACAAGTTCTGTAGGAATTATTCCTTCATGGGCAGAAGCTGAAACAGGATACTTTCAGGGGCAAATAACAGAAAATCCTAATTCAATACTCTTAACCGTAAGGAAAGGAGATCATCAAATAGAATTAGGAGGTAGTCTTAGTGTTAGTTAATTTTTGGCTTAACCATTATCATCCAGGAACAAGACACCCTCCATATTCCTGCTCCACGGGCCTTGGATTGACTTCAAATGTTGGTTAGCTCCCTTCCATGACTGCACGATGGCCGGTGTGGCCAAGAAGTCACAAGCAGACTTAATGATGACCAGTAGAGGAAGGTGCCCATTTTCTTTTTGTATGACACTTTTTCACAGCGCAAAAACACTTTGGCAATATTTAAGGTGGATTAACCATATAGCAGTGAGTATACTGTTATGGTTATGGCTTTTTTCTTTCCCAATTTTTGGATGGTGAACTATTACTAAAATAAAACCACATCAACCCATGTGGTTGTGTTCAAAGAAATTCAGTTCAGCATTCAAATAAAATTAAAACTAACTCTAATAAATTTCAAGGGCTGATTGTTACCAAGAGAAACCTACCCTAATCCCACCCACCCTTCCTGATCTTCTCTTTCTCAGTTGATGTGAATGAAGTCTTTCCCTTCAGCGTTCGACTCTCCCTTAATTCTCTTCTCCCTACTTTCAATCTACGGTTTATTTTTTTCTTCTTTTCTTTCCTTCCCTATTTTTTTCTTTTATGTAAATTTGCCATCCTGTTTTTAGGTTCTCCCCACAATTCATGTCTGATGTGCGCGATAGGGCATAGGTGAGCATCTAGGTGTGGTGTCCAGCAGGAGGTGGGGGAAGGACCTGAATAATCACATGTAGCTTTTTTGCTTCTGTTATGCTGATTCCCATGTACGACTTTTCCTCTAGTGTCCTGGGAAGCGGGCTGCAAAAGAATCTTTGGCTTCTCCCGGTCCTTCACTATTGTTCACCGTAGTTGTAAAAATTTTAACACCTATAGGATTTAGAAAGATTTGAGTTTGAATAACAATTGTGCCACTCACCACCACTTGTACTGGTTACATAACTCTTTAAAACCTAAATTCAAATGTTTTTCCTTTTACCAAAGTAATACAGTTACAGATTGTAAAATTCAAGCAGTATTTCTAGATTTATGACAAAAAATAGCAATTGCCTACACCAAGCATTCCCACTTTCAATTCCTTCCTCTAACTTAACTCTTAGCTATTGCTTTTTAAAATTTACTCTCTATTTCTTTTTTTTTAATGTTTATTTTTGAGAAAGAGAAAGAAAGAGATGGGGGAGAGAGAGAGAGAGAGAGAGAGAGAGAGAGAGAGATAGAGAAAGAGAAAGAGAAAGAGAATGAGCAGGGGAGGGGCAGAGAGAGAGGGAGACACAGAATCCAAAGCAGGCTCCAGGCTCTGAGCTGTCAGCATGGAGCCTGACTCAGGGCTTAAATCCCACAGACTGTGAGATCATGACCTGAGCTGAAGTTGGATGCTTAACCAACTGAGCCACCCAGGCGCACCCCTCCTTTTTTTTTTTTTTTATGTTTACTCTCCTATTTCTTATAAAAGAGTCTCTAATGCTATGTCTGTCTTTTCCCTTGCATGTACTGACTATGGACTTCCCAGCTCTAGCAGATGAAGATGTAACTCTTCCACTGGATTTCTCAGACACACACGTTTATGAACACATGTAAGATTGCCTCTCATTTTTTCAAAAATTATAGCACCCTTTTATATTAAATTTACCATTCTGTATTTACCTTATCGAAGCTAGGTACCATGCCCTTCTGATTTCCAATCCTTTAAATGTGACCTTTTTAATTTTCTCTATGGAAACTTTTAAAGATCTTTTCTTTATCCCTAGTGTCCTGAAATTTCATGATATACCTTAGTGTGGATCATCTCGGGTTTGTTGTGCTGGGCAGTTGGCAATCCTTTTCAGTATAAAAACATGTCTTTTACATCTGGGAAGTTTTCTTGAATTATTTCTTGAGTATTTCCTCCTCTTCATTTTCTGTTCTCTTTCTTGTAATTCCTATTTTTCACATGTCAAACTTCAATCTTCTAATTTTCTTATGTTTTGTCTTTCTCCATCTTTTCTTCTTTTCTAATATCTGTGAGATATCATCGGATTTATCTTCTAACTTTAAACTTTTTAAATTTATCATGGCTTTTATAATTTTCAAGAGCTCTTATTTTTTAAATGTTCTTTTATATACCCCTCTCTGTTTATTTCACGGATAATCTTCAGAGATTGCAGAGGTAATGTTTTTTATAATATTTGTCTTCTTTCTAGTTTTTTTTCCTTCCTTTTTTTTTTTTTTTGTAACTTTAAACTTTTTAAATTTATCATGGCTTTTATAATTTTCAAGAGCTCTTATTTTTTAAATGTTCTTTTATATACCCCTCTCTGTTTATTTCACGGATAATCTTCAGAGATTGCAGAGGTAATGTTTTTTATAATATTTGTCTTCTTTCTAGTTTTTTTTCCTTCCTTTTTTTTTTTGTCTTCCTCAAATGTCTGTCAATCCTTGGTCATAGGTGTATATTTCAGAGAGAGGCAGACGTGCTTATTGGAAGGTCTGTGAGACAGATGAAGACTGCCAAGTGGTGGAATTCACTTAAGGCAGTTTGAGGCGCTTTGGTTGGCCTGTCACCCTCGGCCTCCACAGTCTGGGGCCGCACAGACTACAGATGGTGTCTCTGCTTGACCTTTGCACCATCCAGACTCCGTTTGTTTCCTCGGTTGGCTCCTTCTGACCTTCCTCTTCTAATTCTGAGATCCCACTTCCTTCTAGGCTTAGTTTACCCCTTATCTCCTTGCTGCCTTCTTCATCCAGGGTATAAACTTTACACAATGTTTCACTTGTTCCCTAATATTTAATGTATGTTAATTTGTCTTCCCAACCACAATGTGTGTTCCTTAAGATGAGAGACCACTTCACATCCTGCTTGGCGTGGTACCCAACCAGCAGTAGCTGCTGAGCATCGGTGATTTTACTGAAAAAAAAAAAAAAATTGTTAAGTCAATCAGAAAGGAAAGCCTTGTGTGCCGAGTGGAGAGATTCCTTCTCAAATTTGATGCATACATGTGGTGTCACTGCAATTTGGTAATGCTTCTGAGCGCTTGATCTGTCAAGTGCTTTGCAGGAGACTCTGAAGAGAGCAATATTTGATCACTTTACCTCCGCTGAAGCCTCCTGTTCCCTGGGGTTTACAGAAGCCCTACCAGACACGTTGTGTGTACAGACAGGTTTTGAGATGTGGCTTATATAATTAGGTATTATTAATAATTTTACTTTTTCAGTAATTTACCTAAAAATAAATTAGATTGGTTTAAAGGCTAATCTTCTGCCATCACACTTGGCCACTGAAACATTCTCTTGGCTGTAGAGAAAAGGGTGGCCTTGCAGCTAGAGGAGTGGACACTGGGTAGAATCTGGACTGCCTGACATCTGAACCTAAGGAAGCATGTCCTGACCATGAACTTTACTGATCTTAAAATGGTTTTCGAAGTAAGGTGGATATGGTGGCTTATACGCAACGTCCAAATCCCTTAACATGAGATGGAGACATTGCACGACCAGGTGGTCCTGTTCGCCGTCCAGGTTTATGCCCTCCACCCCTCATGTATACGTCACAGTCAGTGAAACTCCTCTAAAGCCTCCTGCTTCTGCACTGTCCTCGCTTCTCCCCATAAATCTCACTCCCTTCGGACCAGAAAACCTGCCCAGTAAAAATATTCGGACTCGAGGGCAATTATGGTCATCATCATCACGGGCAGCAACACCAACAAAATGGCTAAAACGTACTCAGTGCTTCCATGGGTTGAGTGCTCTGCTATATTCCTTTCTTAATTATTTGTTTTTTAAGTTTATTTATTTTGAGAGAACGAGAGGGGCAAGGGCAGAGAGGGAGAATCCCACGCAGGCTCCACACGGTGGGGATCATCGTCCGGAACTGTGATACCAAGACCTGAGCAGAAATGAAGGGTCAGACAGACACCCAGGTGCCCCTCTGCTCTATTCGTCGTAAGCACTGCCTGGGAAGCACCCTGTTGTCCTGACTAAAGAGTTGACGAAGCTGAGCGTACAGAGGTTAAAGAAACAAACAACAACAACAAAACTTGCCCAGGATCACACCCCCGATTCTGTATCCCCAAACCCTTTCCCCATACCCAGCGCGTAAGTGGGCATGTTCAGAGATGGTAACACAGGTATGACCCGCTTTCCCAAAGTGTGTCACTCTCCTCCGTCCGCGCCTGCGTCCGCTGGCCCAGAGGAATCAGGAGAGGATTTCGCTTGGGAGGGAAAAGCCACCGCGGCACCGGCGCCCGTCTTCCTGAGAGCGGAGTGGCGTGCTCTCCGCTTTGCACCGGCTGGACTCAGAAACGGATTCGCCGAGCGCTCTGCTTTCCGACGGCGCGGGAACCTCCGAGAGCCTCTCGCGGCAGCCGCGCTTCAGGCGAGCCTGACCCTCTCCCGGGCCGGCCACCTGGGCGCCCGAAAACTGGCGCCAGGGGCTCCAGGTAGCTGTCGGTCCTCGCAGCAAGCAGGGCGAACGAGCCCGGGCAGGCCAGCAGCACGCCGCGCTCGCGCAGGCGGCGCAGCCGCGGGTGGAAGCGGGGAGAGAGGCGGTGCCCTGCTGACGCCCGCGGCCCCTCGTGACCCCGGCTTAGGAAGCAGGAGCGGTTTCCAAAGCAACAGGGCTGGCGCCTGCGCAGCTCGCTTCCCCGGCGCCTGGGGGCTGGGGGCGGGGGAACCCGGCCGCGCAGGCCCCGCCCCCCGCGCAGGGCGGTCCCGCGAGCGGAAGCGCTCGGGGCGGAAGCGGAAGTGCGCGGACAGCTGCGGCGGGGCCGAGGGCTGTGCGGGAGAGTGTCTGCTGTGCTGGCGCATCTCTAGGTAGGGCCGGGCCTGCCGGGCCAGCGCCGTCCCGACCGCCCCCCGCCTGCCGGGCTCGGCTGTGCTCGCCGCGCTTGCGGCTCTGCGCCGTCGCTGCCGCCCCGGCCGTGAGCCCCGTCGCGGGTCCCTGCGCCCGGGTCCGAGTCCTCCGGGGACCTGGGACTCGCCGCCCACTGCCTTTCCCCTCCTGGGCCTCTCCATCCCTGTCACCTCACTCCCTGATCCCTCACAGCTGTGCCCTTGCTTCCTCCTCTTTAGTGTCATCCTGACCACCCCACCCCCCCTCCGAGAGAGAGGTGTCCCGATTCCGGTCCACTCACCCCGGCTACCCGGCCGCACAACTGGTTTGGTCGCCCCCGGAGAGGCGTTCTCTGATCTCTGCAGTCGCGTCTCAAAACCTGTGTGCCTTTCGCCCCAGGCATGTCTGGGCTGTTCTAAGCCGGGGCTCCAGCACCTGGCAAGTGCTAGGTCCTTACAGAAAGAAAGATGAAAAGGTAGCCGGCTAGTGTCGGGGTAGCTCAGAGGACCATTTGTCTAAGGCGGCCAAGGAGGGGCCGGGAAGTTTCTTTGCAGGAAGGGGCTATTTGAGATGAGTTTTAAAGAAGTAGGAGTTTGGAGGTGAAAGAGGAGCAAGAGGCCGTTCGTCCCTGCAGAGGAAACCATGTTTGATAGAGTTGAGAAAAGTTACATAGCTGATTAGAGACGGGGAATGGCAGGAAGGTACAGAGAATTAGGGGCAAGGAAGCCAAGTGGTCAGATGTCATTACTAAGGCAGCCTGGCAGGTGTATGATGATGGTGTGGGCGATCGCACATCATGAGAACAGGGCTTCTGCAGTTGTGCAGGAGGGAAGTTTTAAAACCCCAAACCCGAAAATGGCAGTGGAGAGAACTTGGAGTTGAGTTGGATGCGAAAGGCATGAGATGTCGGTATTTCTAATGACCCAGGTTTTTGGCTTGACATTTGAGATGATTCAGGGAGTGAGAAATGGCTTGGGGAACACATTTGGAGCACCAGGCTCCTGACTGCTCGCCTCCCAAGTGTATCAAGTTGTTTGGTCTGGAACTGTATTTCACGGTGGTTCCTCGATCTTGTCCTTGGTCTCTGTCGTTTGTGGCCTCACAGCTGCGTGTGCTCAATGACCTGCCCATGCTTGGGCCTTGCTGTCAGGAGCTACCCAGTGTGCACCAGCACAGCCTTCACACGTTCTCTGTGTTTCGATCTCTTCATCACCCTGTCCCTTGCCGTCCCTGAGTTCTGCCATAGTGCTCCTCCCTGCCCTGATGGTTCCTCTGGTCTTAGAACTGCGCTGGTGCCTTCCTTACCCACTGTGTTCGGGAAGCGCGCTGACAGCACCACAGCTGAGCCAAGTCCCTCACTGCCCATCTCTCCACACCCCTCTCACCTACCTTATGTCATTTCTGAATCCCTAATCTCCCAGACCTATGGCACCCTCTGGTCACTTCTTTCCTGCAGACTGAGAAAACTGAAGGAGGTGGCATCTGAGGTCCTGCGCCATCCCTGAGCCTTAACCTGGGTGTCATTTATGGGGTAGATTTACTGTGAAGCTAATGAAGGTCAGGCCTCAGGGTCCTTCACTATCATGAGCTCCTTGCAAGGCACCGGGAAAGGCCTCAGTGGACTTGTGTTTATAATTTTGTGTTTTTTATAAAGAAGGACCCCAACTCTGTAGGCTTCAGGCCCTACACCACTCGGATCCCTGTGAAACTTGCGATTTGTCACATCCTACTGTCTTGGTGTTTGCATTCTTGTCCTTCAGATGTTGCCCTTCATGTGTGTGCTTCTTACTGGGGCTTGGAGAGAACATAGGAGTGGGTGGAGCCCAGTTCCTGCCGTAACCGGACTTTAATTTGCTCTCTGTCGGGGAGGGGGATGCCGGAAGTTGGGATCTGAGTGCCTTTGGCAGAACCTTTGCAATGGTGTAGTTGCATGGATTGATTTATTTCCCTGCTGCGTTGCCACTTTTTTCAAGAAAAAGTTAATGGCGAGAAGTCTGCTTTACTTGAGGTCATAAAAGCAATTCTTATTTCTATGGAAGAAGCTACAGCAATACATTGGAGAATCATTCAGAAGAATTAATTGCATCCTTTCTTTTATTAGTGTGAAAGTGAGGTAACCCTAATGCTATAAATTGTTTTTATAAAACTTCATAGTTGGGGCGCCTGGGTGGCTTAGTCGGTTAAGCGTCCGACTTTCGCTTAGGTCATGATCTCGCGGTTCGTGGGTTCGAGCCCCGCGTCGGGCTCTGTGCTGACTGCCAGCTCAGAGCCTGGAGCCTGTTTCAGTCTGTGACTCCCTCTCTCTCTGACCCTCCCCTGCTCACGCTGTCTCTCTCTCTCTCTCCCTCTCTCTCTCCTAGAAATAAATAAAAAATATTAAAAAAAAAAAAAAGAAAAGAAAAGAAAAGAAAGCCTGGCAGTGTGCACACGTGTCAAAATGCACCATCCAGTGCACTTACTCTAAAAGCCCCACAGCAGACATCTCTAGTCCCACGGGCACACGATCCGCTCGTTCAGGGTTGTGAAAGGCCTGCTGTACCAGCAGAGAAGGAAAGAGAACTGGTGCTGGACAGCAGCCACCAGCGTGTGCTGCCTTAGGGCACCTGCCTGATAAAGCCGAGATTTGAACCCATCCCAGCCTCCAAAGCTTGTGTACCTTTCACTAAGCCACGGCCCCACCTAACTGTGGCACCTGAGTGGTCTGGTTGCTGCGGGCTCCAGAGCTGCAGACCACATCGCTCACTGCAGAATTGCCCGGTGGGTGTCCTTAGTCCAGAGAGCTCTCCTTCCTGAAGGTTCTCCCCGTCATAAGGGAATGAACAGAATGATCAGGACTGAAGGAGCAACCAGAACACTGTGCCTTTCCCTAACCCACTGCAGCTTGACAGGCCCCTTGAAGGTCAAGGACACACGATGTGACAACCACTGTCACTGAGCACAGGTGAAGATGCAGGTACGCCTGCACAAATTTATGCTTCATTTATCCAAAACTCAGGGTAAGAATCCAATATAAACTCATGAGTTAGAGCTAAAACAATTTATTCGTTGGAGACTCTTCAAGCTCTTATTTATCACCTATGGACTATTTCTCTATGCAGTTCTAACAAGAAACTTCTATATCCACAGTAGAGAAACATACGGTAAGGACATCTGAGGCAGGCACCGACAGCAGCAGGAACTGTTGAGGGCTGACAAGGGGACAGCAGAACAGGAAAACTAAAAACAACCTGAAAGATACAAAAACTCCTTACAAATAACAGGGGAAAAGCTTCCCACGCCTCAGCAACTTCTAACAGTGTTTACATCACAACTAACAAGTTACGTTTTAAATGTTTGAGATCATTAAAGAAAGTTTATACTATCCAGAACATTCTACTAAGAAAGCAGAGAAATAATATATTTTAGGAAGATTGCCATCCTAAATGGGAGATTTTAATGTTTAATGGGCCAAAACCCAGAACTAAACTATCCAGAAAACTCCACTGTTTCAAACAGTTACTTTCCTCTCGTCCTGTTGGCAATGGTTTGAATATAAATGACTTGAAGATAACTTCACAATACTCTGGGCTAAAGCGCTGATGGGAACGGCAGTCCGGCTGCACAGTGTCATGGAACCTCGCGTGTCCCTGCAGGACTCTGCAGCCAGACAGTCAAACTGACAGACCTGAGGATTTGGTCCACCTTACAGGAAAGGTTCTACAGTAAAAGCAGTGGATTCCCTCTCACTGAGCAGTATTCGTTTATAAAGAAAAGGGTGCTCAGGAGCTGGTTTTCTTGGTTGGCAATGTCTGACTGAAGACAAAATATTTAATCTCTTCGTGTATCACTGATTCCCTTTTTTGCACAAATTTAAATAATGATTTACCTCTCAATTTGATAGATTTTAAACTACTACCACAAAATCCTTTCAACAGATCTTACCTTATATAAGTAATTTAAACCTTAAATAACATGTTTTTGGTCTCTGAAGGTTTTTCCAACATCACCTTACAAAGAAAAATGTGTAAGAGCAAATTAAAAAGTTACTTATACTTACTATGAAGTTTTTTTTTTTTTTAATGTTTTATTTTTATTTCTAGGAGAGAGAGAGGGAGAGAGAGAGAGAGACAGCGTGAGCAGGGGAGGGTCAGAGAGAGAGGGAGTCACAGACTGAAACAGGCTCCAGGCTCTGAGCTGGCAGTCAGCACAGAGCCCGATGCGGGGCTCGAACCGCGAGATCATGACCTAAGCGAAAGTCGGACGCCCAACCGACTAAGCCACCCAGGCGCCCCAGGCTTTCTTTTCTGATGGACCCTGTGCCTTTCACTCCCTCTCAGGGCTTGTATCTTAGTGACTTTGTCTTATCCATTGCTGCGTCCACAGCTGCTAGCACAGGGTCTGGAGTACAGTAAACACCAGATGAATATTTCCTGAGCAAGTATGGGAACTTAGAACTCCTGCCCTTGGTATGTATGGGGCCAGAAGAGGGTCTCTTCCTCCATTGTCTTTGCAATGGGAATTAGGACCCTGCGTCCTTCCAGTGTTAGGGTTTTTCCAGAATAGGTGTTTGGATACTGGGCAGCTAGAGCCACCAGTGCCTGCCAGGGCCCCCCCCATTTATCTCCACTTTTGCCTGTCTCCATCCTTTCTCCATGACGTCAGGTAAGTGTTTCTAAAATGTACTTGCTTAGGAGGCTTGAACGATATCTAATCTCCCTTTGAGATGAAGTGCAGATGCATGTGTGTGGCTAACAAGCCCCTGTGTTGTCTGGCCCTGACTGCAGCCTCATCTCCTCTCCTTCTTTTAAATCAGAGTTCTAGCCACACTGAGAGGTTGGTTGTTTCCGCCCCCCCCCCCCATTTTCCATGTTTGAGGAACACATAGTATAAGTAGCATCGCAGGTTAAACTGCTTAATAGAACACATATTTTAAACACCTTAGAACCACCCATTTACTGGTCAGAAAAAAAAAAGATATCTTACGAACTTTAAAACATTTTCA